TCCGCAAAAGGAGGGAAGGCCGGCAGGACGACGACAACACTGCAAAAAAATATAAAAAAGCAACCAAAAAACGCTGTTTTGAACGGAAAATGGTTAAGGAGCGGTCGTTTCAGGTAAAATAATGACTCATGCCACACGCTTAAAACATCACGAATTATTTTGAGCACACATAGTACCAACTTATGTACTTTGTTATACGAAGAAATAGTTCGTAAGTCACGAGGTATTTTTTGTAAGCTTATGTATGCTCAGAATACTTTGTGATATAACAAGCTGCCTTTGTAAGGCCTAAAATAGTTTGTAAGTTCTTCTCAGTGCATGTTTGCGTGCATTACGTGCTGTTTTCGTTTCTACCAGTGAGTCAACACGGGTTTTTCTGACCAATTTTTGATTTCCGGACACGTTTTCGGGCAGTGTGTGCGAAACCCAATCAAGGGCAATCCGGCCCAATCCGGCCTGGCCAAAAAGTACGCGCCGAAAAACAGAGGGCCCCCTGAGTTAGGGCGAACGAGTACCGGAGTACCCCAGCGGGTACCAGTTCGTAAAGCACGTCGTGGGACTTCTTTATAGGCATCAAACATACAGGCCGACTATCGGCCCTTCTCCCTCTGTACCCACAAAAAATATGATAAACTGGAGATATTTTTTTTTCAAACCGATCCCGCCTTGTGTCCCCTCAAAAAAAGAGGGGTCGTGTAATAAAGTTTGAAAACTTGCCATTGTTAAAATTTCTTATGGGATTAAAATCTTTGTGATTTAAAATAAATCATTTTGAATATCTTTAATTTTTTTTTTGATCAATTACTGACTCTTGTTATTGCTGCTGTGTGCGATTTTGATGTCCTTCCCTGTTGCTTCATGCGCTCTCCCCTCTCTCCAATCCACGCACAGTGCCTGTCCTTATCGGCGTCCAATCAAGTGCGATGCTTACAGTGTGTCCGGAATGCGGTTGGGGGAATGCCCAAAACATAACGAGCTGCTAAACCGGCGGCGGCGCGGTCGCGGCACTGTGTTACACGAGGCTGTCATACAGTGTGGGGCACGGTGATTAAGCCTGCATTTACATGGCGGCGTTGGACTGCACGATGTATGGCGCGAGCGTGGCGCTGAGGTGGCGGCCCAGGCGTTGCAGCGGACCGAGAGCCGTCGCTCTGTCTCTCTCGCACTCATGGGGCGTGCCGTGTGAGTGCGAGGGAGACAGAGCGACGATAACGTCTCTCGGAACCTTGCTGCAGTGGCGTAGCCAGGCGCCCTCCGCCGGCCAACTAATCGTCTGCAGCGCGCAGCGGGGAGTCCCGAAAACGGGCTGCCGCCGCTCACGGCGCTCTGTCTCTCTCGCACTCGTGGGCCAGAGAGAGACAGAGCGACTGTCCGACCGCGGCCCGCCGGACCCGGTCCGTTCAGCCGCAGGTGGCAGCACTGCCGCGGCCATGCCATCCGTTTTGTGGGGATCGAAAAAGCTGTTGCCTCGAGATATCTAATCTGAATTCACTCTCCGGACTCCTGCGCGGCGCGCTGCCGCTTGTCCGGGACTTGTCCGGGACTTGTCCGGGACTTGTCCGGGACTTGTCCAGGCCCTTGTTCGGGATTGGGCCGCTTACTCCACCCCGGAGCAGTGTGCCCACAGTGTGCCCACAGACAGTGCGCCCGGCCCAGGGCGCCTAGGGCCCAGGGGGCAAGCTTGCGGTCCGCTGTCTGCCGGGAAAAGAATGGAAGCGCACGGCCAAAAGACCGACGGAGGCGGCCAAAACTCTAGACCCGTTTCGGGCTCCAGAGTCGCTAAATGCGACTAGAACCGAACGAGTGACCCCACCAATGGATTGCTCTTCGAACGAGGAATCCATTGGTGGGGTCACACGTTCGGTTCGAGTCCCATTTAGCGACTCTAGAGCTCAAAACGCGCCCAGAGTTTTGGCCGCCTCCGCCGGTCTTCTGGCCCACTGTGCAGCGTCAGTCAGCCCTCGCTCGGCCAGTCTGCGGCGCAGGCAAGCCGCTGCAGCAGCTCGGGGCCGGCCTCCTGCCTGATGCACGCCCCGCCCCGCCCCGCCCCGCCCCGCCCCGCCACTCGAAGACTCGAAGCTCGGGGCGGCGGCCGCGGCGGCACCTCGATCAAGACATTAGAGGTGTGGCGTGGGGGAAGGCCCCCTCCGCCGTCCCTCTCGCACTCGCGGGGCGTCCCGTCGGGGTGCGAGAGAGAGAGAGGCAGCGCGAGGCCGCATCACGCCCGGCATGGAGCCCCGCGGTGCCTGGCGCGGCCTGTAGACTCATTCCGAGAGTCGTCGCTCTGTCTCTCTCGCTCTCATGGGGCGTCCCGCGTTGGTGCGAGAGAGACACAGCGACGAACGAGTGGCCGTATGGGCCCCATGGCAACGCGCAACGCTGAGCCGACATCATTACAGAGCTACTGTGCGGCACTCGCTGCAGCCATGCTGCGCCGCTGCCATGCTGCACCGCTGCACCGCGGACGTCCACGCCGACGGCACACAGTGGGCCAGAAGGCCGGTGGAGGCGGCCAAAACTCAAGACGAGTTTTGAGCTCCAGAGGCACTGAATGGGACTCGAAACGAGCGAGTGACCCCACCAATGGATTCCTCGTTCGGAGAGCAATCCATTGGTGGGGTCACACGTTCGGTTTCAGTCCCATTTAGCGACTCGGGAGCTCAAAACACGTATTGAGTTTCGGCCGCCTCCACCGGTCTTTTGGCCCACTGTGCGTGAGGCTCACAAAAAGGAAGTTGCCGGCCGGACGGACAGGGATGGACGTAGCGGAGGCCTCACCGCGCACCCGCTATAGAACACAAAACTTAAAACAAATTTCAAAAATTTCAAGGTTTTAAACTTTTTTTTAAAAATTTCCCTTAAGTTTAACTGAACGTTTTTCACAAGGAACTACGTTGCTCTGTCTCTCTCGCACTTATACGTGGCGCCCCAGGAGTGCGAGAGGGACAGAGCGACGAAGACGAAGCGTTATCAGGACGGGTTCGTAACGAAGCGCTAGCGGGGCGACATCCATTGGGGGGCGAGCCGAGCCACGAGTGTGGCGACTCGGTGTTCCAAACGAGAGAAGCAACAACCAAACTTGCAGCGGCTGGGATGAACTCTACGCCCAAGTTGCGTTGGGTGTCCGAGGGCTCACGAGGGCCTTCCCTGACGAGCCTCGTGATAAATCACAGCCCTTGCACCTGGCGGGGGCAGGCCGGGGCTGGCCGACAGAAGCCGTCATCAAAGCATCATCAGCCGTATGACGCGGCCAGAGCGACCGGCTCACTTCGGTAGCCGTCAAGCGTTAAACGTGGCCCGTTCCGCTATGGCGGGCCGGGCGGGGCTCCCAGAGTAAACCTCTCCTTCCCTTGAGCACCGCCCCGCCAAGCGGGTGGCGGCCTCGGTCTCAGAGGGACAAGAGTCACTGCATGGTCACTGGGGCCGTCCTCACTCTTCGAGAGCATCGACAGACGGGCGCAGCGAAGTGCCATTGTTGAACCGCGTCGGCACAGCAGTGTGTGCGTGCGCGCGTGCGTGCGTGCTAACGAGTAATGAGTAGACTCCCCTCCTGCATATATGGAAAATGTCACCCACATTTGGCCACTTTGATGAGATTCATTTGGTTCAATCCGCACGACGAATGGCCGATTGGACTTGAAATGCACTAAAACCAAGCGCAAAGAAGAAAAGTCTTTCGGTCCGAGTCCATCGTGCACCAAGTGCTCCGGTAACGAGCTCGGTGTGACAGCGTCGTCACGACACGCGTGTCCGTGACAACATCGTGACAACATCGTGACAACGGGGCGACACGGTAACGCCCCGCAGCCGCGGCAGTGTTACCGGTGGCTCCATAATGATAACAACCAACCAGCCAACCGGTCTCCTCTCTCTCTCTCTCTCTCTCTCTCTCTCTCTCTCTCTCTCTCTCTCGCTCTCTCTCTCCATCTCGCCCCTACACGTGTCGCGGTAGTGCTGACGAATACATTGTGAGGCCGCTATCTACACACACCGGCCACGCTCCCTGAGACCTGTCTTTATAGGCTGCTCGAAACACGGCCGTGAAGGCGTTCCGTCGGGCTAGCGCGCCCCGCCCCGCCCCGCCCCGCCCCGCGCTCAGGAAAAGTTACTGTGTTTAACGAAGACCCCTCCCCGGGTCTCAAAGCCTGGCCGCCGCCTTTCTTTGCCTTGCATTCGATCCAGCGGAGGGAGCGATTCCGAGCTGCGCTGCCGTCGCTCTGTCTCTCTCGCACTCGTGGGGCGTTCCGTTCCGGTGCGAGAGAGACAGAGCGCTCGGTTTCGTCCTACTTGCCCAGCGCTCTTGTTGGCTCTCGCGAGCTGGGAGTGGCTGGTTAACTCAAAGAAAGGAGCAGCAAACAGTTTGCTGCTCTAGCCAAACAATGCGTACTGCTTGTGCCCCTCCGAACTGCTCGGCAGGCATTGTTTTGCACCAAGGATGCTTTGCGACTTTGTTGGGCTACATCAAAATACCAATCAGGAGTCTCGGAAATACACCTTTTCTCTTACCTTATCGAGCCTAATCAGTAACTCCAGGTGGAGCCCCTGAAAGCGTAGGCAACCCAACTGGCTTGGAAGCTCGTTGGGCTGCCTACCCACCAGGCGCCCCGCCAGCTGCCCGGCGGGACGGGGGGCAACCCGTACCTGCGCGCAGATACCCCACGCAGGCGGCCATACCCCGCGCTCGCAGGGGCCACCATGGGCGTGGAGTATCGCCAAGCGCTGGAGAGCAGGGCGAGTGCTCTCGTAATGTCTGACGATGAAATTTACGTCATTTTGAAGGAAGTGGCGCAGGTATAATTGGAAGATAGTTTTGTGTTCGTGTTACGAAGCTGTTTTCTTTGAATCGTGCGTGAAAATCCAACAAAAATTCGCATCAAAGAGGAGTTTTGCTTCGTATTATGCTTGCGCCGAATTTACTGTAACGCTTGCTCAAACTTCATTGTGAGACTTTTAGAGTGTAGGAGTGTGTGCCTGTGGGAGTGAAAATGAAATGAGCTGGGCAGGGTAAAAGAGGCTCGTCAGATTCATAATATCATTCCCCGAGAAATGTCTCCAGTGGTCACAGGTAGTCGAGGCCGGACTTTTCCCGGATCCAGGGCAGGTGCTTCGGGACGCTGGCGAAGACTCCCGGGTACTTGCCGCAGGGCTTCTTGGACCACGATACGATGCCCACCACCATCTTGTCCACGATCAGAGCGCCGCCGGAGTCACCCTGCGTCCAAGAACAAACTTGTTAGGACGTGGGGACAAGGGGGTTGTTTCTTTTGGACACTGGACACTTTCGCCCTAAACTCAATTTTTTGACCAACTTTGCCTCGCAACTGCTCCCAAACGAGTGTTGCAAATCGGATTCCTAAGGCTGCACAGTGGGCCAGAAGATCGGCACAGGTAGCCGAAACTCTAGACGCGTTTTGAGCTCTAGAGTCGCTAAATGGGACTCGAACCGAACGTGTGACCCCACCAATGGATTGCTCTCCGAACGAGGAATCCATTGGTGGGGTCACACGGTCGGTTCGAGTCCCATTTAGCGACTCTGGAGCTCAAAACGCGTCCGGGCTTTGGCCCGCCCACTGTGGGCTATGGCGCGTTAGCGTTCGGTCGGCTTGCCTTGCACTCGGCTTCCAGGCCGTCGGACGAGGCGGCACAGAGCTGGTCGTCCAGGATGGTGGCGAACCCATCGAGGGCGTTCTGGCAGTCCGCCTTGGACACGATGCCCAGCGAGGTCCACTGGAGTGTGTTGCTGGCCTCTAGGTTGTCGTTCTGGAACAAATTTGGGCACAAATTAAGGTACAATTTAAAAAATACCTCAGCACAATGGTAATGCCGTCCTTAATTTTTGTTTTAAATTGTGCATGCATGCGTACCGAAGTCTGCCCCCAGCCCGCGACCTGGGCAGTCGCTCCAGGCTGCGGGGTGCGGTGCTGCAGCGTGGCTTCCTGGATGTAGGCGTTGAGGGGGAGCGGCTCGGGCAGCTGCCAACCACACGAGAAACCTTAGCGTGAAGTCGCTTCACAATAACACGAAGCATTTCTAGGCGGATTTGGGAGAATGGAACGCTGCTCACGTTGATGAGGGCGATGTCGTTCTCGATGGAGATGCCCTGGTCGGGGTCGTAGTCCTCGTGGATCTCGTAGCCCGCGATGCCCGTTCGGTAGGACAGCATCCCCGGCTGCGACAGGTCGTTGGCCCCGGCCAAGACGCTCACCGCCGCGGGGTCGATCCTGCCAACCCCAAAGCTGTGGAACAGAGCTCCAGGGGCTTGCCCAGTGTGTGTGTGTGTGTGTGTGTGTGTGTGTGTGTGTGTGTGTGTGTGTGTGTGTGTGTGTGTGCGCGCGCGCGCGCGCGCTCCGAGGGGTACCGCACTTCGAAAACAGGTGTACACTGACTGGTGACTATACTCAATTTCCACTTTGACTAGACTGAAAATATCACGAAATGCGTTGCAAAAATACTAAAATTGGGACAAATTTACGTGGTTTTGCCGACTTTTTCAGTGACTAGACTGAAACAAGGCAGTGACTGGAGTCAGGGGTGTACACTGACTAGACGAAGTGAGGTACCCCTCGGCGCGCTCCCCTGGTGGGAGGCTGCACGCCGTGACAAGTCCTCCCTGCTGCTGCGAGTACCGCCGAGTGCCACTCACTGGTCCAGGCAGTGGCCGGCGGTGACGATCCACTCCTTGTCGATGATGAAGCCCCCGCAGAGGTGCTGGAAGGTGCCGTCGGGGCTCTGGATCTGGATGGACACCTGCGGCAAAGGAGCGCGACTTGAATCGTGCCCTTGCACTTGAACAGTGGGCCAAAAGACCGGTGGAGGCGGTCCATATCCCAGACATGTTTTGAGGCCCTGAGTCGCTAAATGAGACTGGAACCGAACGAGTGACCCCCACCAATGGATTGCTATTCGAACGAGAAATCTATTGGTGGGGTCACACGTTTGGTTTCGGTCTTGTTACGTGACTCTGGAGCTCAAAACGCGTCGAGTTTCTGCCGCTCTTCTGGCCCACTGTGCGCTGACACGACAGAAACAGACGAAGAGACCGAAAACTCACCACTTCAGGGAATTCGCCGGGCTCGGCGTCGTCGCCCCCGACTATGAACGGCACGATGTCTGAAACGTGAACCCCGGAGTTGTTTAGAGAAAAATATGTTTTGACGACAGCGATGATTTCGTTCGATTCCAGCGAATGTTTTATTGCGGGTGCACCGCTCCACCGGTGGATTCCAGCGCCGAACCCGAAAATGCCCGCATACTGCACTGGTTCCTATCGGAGTCACCAAGGCCCCGTCCTCTCGCAGTGCCCTCGCCAACGGTAAGGGGACAGAACGTGTCAGACCGAGAAAGGACTGGCTATCGTACTCCACAAAATGCATGGAGAGATTATACGAGGAAATCTGTTGGTTTGCTGACCAAGGTTGGCAGACATCGGACTTGGGTCGGATCCACTTCAAGACAGCTCTTGTTCTAAGCCAGTGCTTTGATGGCAGCTTTCATGAGATTATAACAGGATTCGATTTGAAAGACTTCCTCGTGGGCAGGACCACAACTCAAACAAAATCTGACTCGTTTTGTGTGGGCTCTTCGATCGGTGACGTTTATGAGTGCAGTTCATGTTATCGATTTGGAGTGGCAATCACGAAGGCGCTTAGCTTGCAAAGAACACACTTCAGGCACCTGGCACTTCAGATAACATCGCGGCATGTCTCGGCCGCATGTCTTCAATGCAAACAATTGAAATGAAAGGTAAAATTATTGCATTATTTTTTCGAAGCTGTTTCTTTTTGTGAATCCAAAGATGCAGGTGTTCTCTGTGCCTGTTTACACTGTCGATCGACGTGCTGGTGGCTGTGTTTAGTCAGCCGTATTCCGAGAAGTGAGCGAGTGAACATCAAATCAAGCACCATGGTAGATGTCGTAGGAGCTATAGTTTTTAACAGCAACCCCCAGAAAATTGACAAAACATCCTACTGAACAAACAACGGTCTGAGAAGACACTCCAAAGCGAAAGCACCTGTCTGCCCTTAAGTGGCTTTGATTTTTCCCCGCACCATAAAACGCTTCAACGCATAATCTCTCTCTATCTCTATGACGTTTGCATTTGTCTTCCTGTCAACGCGCTCCTCAGGGATTCTCACAGGTAGCAACACAAGACTTCACAGTTTAAAGTCAAATTTTAACTGTTTTCTTGAGGTAATCGTAAGAACGATTTTCTTCTAACTGTTGCCTTATGGGAGCACTACACACAAAGATATGTTCGCACACGCAAAAAAAATATATTGAAGAGCAAGGCGTTATCTCTAACGCGCGGTAGTCTTCCTTTTGGCGTGATTGTGTTGACGGCGCTTCACACGCACGCACACACAGAGACACAGACACACTAGGACACACACACACAGAGACACAGACACACACCAGGCCACACACACACACACAGACACACACACAGACACACACTAGGACACACGCACACTGACACAGACACACACACACACACACAAACACACACAGATCGTCACCATTCTTGCGCGGCGCGGTGCTGGCGCCGCTGGCGGGGCGGCCGGCGTGCAGGGCGAGCACGCCGACGAGGAGTACCACCCAGAGACACTGCACCGCCATGAGTGAGGTGCGCGGGTCGACTGTCGAGCGGCGCGCCCAAACGGAGTGGAACAGTGGCGGTGCGGCGTCGGGCCGGGCCGACTTGCAGTGTGTCTCGTCGGGTACTCGGTGACACCCAAACCCGCCGACTCGTTCGTGCCAGCGTCCGCCGCCGGCCTCCCCCATCCCCGTAGGAACCTCCCCGGTTTGTTTCAGGTTTCAGGTTGGCTCCAGTCAAAGTGCTGGCCGGCTCCGGGATCTCCGGGGGCTGCGCGTGGAGTCTCTCGCGCCGGGAGTAGCGCGGCGGCGCGACGCCGTGCCGACGCCGCGGCCCGGGGCGTGGGGTAGCGACGACGGGCCGGCGATACTCCGCCCGCGGACCCCTGCCGATGACGTCGCCGCGGCCCGAGGGCTTCAAGGCGGCCGAGGTGGGATGCCCTGGAAGGGGACGGGATCTAAACGGCAATGTCGCTCGAGACAAAATCGAAGCGGCTTTTCGAACATGCCACTGGCACGAAAAGCCCAGTCTCTGGGCGTCCCGAGACGTCCCGAGACCCCGGACGCGCGCCACTGCCATGCCTTCGACGAGCCCCTGGGATTATTCCAGCTGGGAGTGGAGGCCCACGGGGAGGGCTGTGGCTGGGTGGCGAGGGCGCAGGGCCCGCGGGGAGCGCGGGGCGCGGCGCGGCAGCCACAGGTTGGCCAAAGGGCCCATGGGCCCGGGGGAAAGGGGGTGGGGGTATTCCGGCTCGTCTTGCAGCATCTTTGGAACACGGTTAGGGGTAACCTGGGTGATGACGTGCTACGTGGGCCTGCGTGGGCGCCTCTCTCTCTCTCTCTCTCCCCTCCCCCTCCCTCTCTCCACCCTTTCCCTGCCGTGTCTCTTTGTCTGGAGCACATTCAATAAGCAGGCCGCGCCCCGCCACACTCGTTTTGTACGGCACTCCCGCGAAGCACCGCGAACGAAGCACCGCGAAGCAGCGTCAAGCCACTCCACTCCCCCCCGCCCCCTCCCCTCCCCTCCCCCGCGGGTCGATCCAGCGCCTGTTATGGAGGGCGTCGCAGCCTGTGTCGCCCCGACAGTGTCCCGGCCGGCCGACCGGGCGGACGGACACACGGCGGCGACCTGGCGGCCGGCCCGGCACGGCCTCCGCAGGCACGGCCTGTACACCGGCCTGTACGACAGTAAATGCCGCTCTTGAAGGGCGCTCTCGACAAGTTTGCCGCACCGCTTTCCACAATTCGGCTCACCTCTCTCCGCTGCGGACTTTTGAGAGTCGCATTTCGGTCGCACTCACGGGGCGTCTCGCATGGGCGGGAGTGAGACGGAGCGACGAAAACGACTCGCAGTCGGCCGGGCCGGCGTGGCAGTGGGTGGCAGCCGGACGGGGCGGAGTGGCGTCGGTGCCGAGTGGTTGCAGTGGAGCGTCGCCGCGCTGCCGCTCGCCCCGCTCGCTTTGTAGCGCCGCTTTTGATATCCATTGTTGTTGCCTTATCGCACACGGGGCCGCCGTTGTTGTGCCGCTGCAATCTGCCGGAACGTCCCGACGCCCCACTTACACGCCCCTGGCGCGTCCCGCCCCGTCCCAGCCGCGTCCCGGCCGCGTGTCTGGCGTGTCTCCCACGGCGTGGCGCGCCCAGACAAATCCATCTCGAAAAGGAAAACGGGACAAACAACATTTGCAATTCACACACACCACACACACACACACACACACACACACACACACACACACACACACACACGAGAAATGCGTTGCGAAGAGAGAATCGGAATACTCAGAACTGTGGGTGGAAACATCACGCACTCCTCCATGCAAATCGGATTGCGCAGCAGCAGTCGGCAGTGTTTCGGTCGGGTGTGTATGTGCAGCGTTGACCGGTTCTCGCTGTCGGCGGCGTGTGTGGCATTCGTGGAAAGTGGATGATAAACAAACCGTTGCAAGTCCGAATAAGCGTAAGCGCGATTGGATATTGAGCAGAAATCCACCTCTCGCGTTTTGCAAACGGCCGACGCCGACGCTTCCCGCGCGTTGAAAGGGGTCTTATTGAGTGGCATGTTTACATCTTTTTGGCAGATGATACCTTTATCTACTTCAAATCATACCTAGAACAATGGAAGACACTTAAAGGTGTCATCCAGATTTTTTATACTTTACTTTCGGGGAGTGTCACCACTTCGTCGGCCAGAGTGCAACAAAATGAAAATGCTGCACACTTTCTGAAATGTGACACGAAAAGGGACACGCTGACTGTGCATGGTGTTGACACTGTCGATGGTGCGACTTGTTTGATCAGCCGCGCGCGTCGTGCGAGGAGTATAGCGTCACCGCGTCGCGGCGCGTCGGCCAAGTGGCGAGAATGAAAGAAAACAGGCCAAGTTTTCCTCGAACGCGCGAGCGGCGCGCGACGGGCGCGTCGATTCCAAAACAAAAACGGTGCCAAGGTGACGGTCTTTCGTGTCGATCCCAATCACACTCACTCACACAGACGCACACGCGCGCACACTCACACACACACACACACACACACACACACAGAGTGTGGGGGCACAGCTGCCATCGGCCTTGTCTAAGGCTGCGTCTCTGATTCGGTCTCGCTCGCTCGCACGCCGAGATGACATGACTGGAGGGCCCTTCCTTTGGGCGCACACTGTGAGGCGGGTCCCTCAAAGCGCCCCATGGCTGGGCGCGTGGCTGCCGGGCCCATGGCTGCCGGGGCTCAGGGCCCTTTGGAGGCCCTCGGAGCCCTCGGCGGCCCTTCCTGCCCCATTAGGGTCATTAATTAGCCTTTACAGCCCGGATTGATTGGCAAATGGTGACTGGCGAAGCGGGCCAGCCTTTCCGGGGAGTCGTTTTCGTCGCTCCGTCTCCCTCGCACCCCGTGGGACGCCCCAGCAGCGCGACAGAGACGGAGCAACGGAGCGTGCGGCGAGGCCGTGGTCACGCGAACGGGCCCTTAAGGTGCGGTCATGCTGTCGCTGTGAAGGGAAGGCAGGGCCCCAATAATCCGGCTAACTTAGTTTCCCGGCGGCTTTTAGAAAAATCCGCTTTTGATTCATTTTTCAACGGAACCTGCATGACCACCTCCACGCGGCTGCAGTGCCTCCTCTGCGTACATGAGACGGAATCGAGCGGCGCTCCACTCCCCCTCCCCCTCCCCCTCCCCCTCCCCTTCCCCCTCTCTCTCATCCCCCACGGGATCCCCGTGGGTGCGAGGGAGAGGGGGCATCCGCGGTAAACAGCACCGTAAATTGGGGCCACGGCGGCGGGCAACTTGTAAGGATGTGCCCCCACACCTTCAACCATTTTTCCTGCCCCCTGCAGCCCCCCCCCCCGGAGTTTTTACAGTGTGACTCAGCCTCGTCGCGCAGACCCCATCAGGCTGGTTTACACTTCTCATCAGCATAAATTTTTACGCTCGCTTTATTTTCGTTTATTCTTATTCGCTTTATTTTTTTCATTGTTTTGGCTCGTATTTATTTTGATCAGTCCTCCCCTTCCCCGCCGCCTCGCCGCTCCGCCGCCGTCTCGTCTCCTCTGTCATCGAGCGTGCGCGGGGGGCGAAAATGAAAACAGGGAGAGGAATAAATAAAAAAAAAACGTTGTGTTCTTGTTTCTGCTCCGAGTTGGATTGGGCCAATGCAACGCAAGCGGTGAAGCGACTGCGACCGTGCGGTGCGTTCAGTGCATCTCATCGCAGTTTTTCTACTTGTGAAGTGATTGCCGTTTTGTGAACGCATTACATGCTTTTTCGATGTGCGCTCTTTACGTTGATGCTTTTACGTTGCGACCTGGGAGTCTCGGCCTTGATGAAACTACTGTGTAGAATCATCCTCGAAAAATGTTTGTGGGAATTTCCGCCTCCTTATGTGTCGGCACTGTAACCTCAGTGGGTGGACGGTGGACAGATGGGGCGGCCCGCAGGGGAGCTCCCACACTAGAAGGACATCATCTTGGCAAGCTTCTCGAAGAACGGACCGCCCGGAGGGGGTTTACGGCTGTGGCCATGATGCCGTCATCTCTTTCAGGCCGGAACCATTCACGCCCCCTCCCCCGACCCCCCCCCTCTCTCTCTCTCTGCCGGAAGGAGTGAGCCACTTTGAGGGGAACGACAACCGGAAGGCGTCAAGCAGCGTGTGCCGGACTCAGCGCGCTGAATGTAATATGCACACTGTCTGGCTGTCCACCGCCCTCCCTGTCACGACACGATAAAAACAAAATGCCCGACGCTCCATGTTTTTTTTTCGCGTCGCTCTGTCTCTCTCTCGCACCTATACGGGACGCCCCATGAGTGCGAGAGAGACAGAGCGATGAAAACGACTCTTGGAAGGCTGGGGGTGACATTCCAGCCTGTCACCGAGTTAGTTACTAGATCGGTTTCACAACACTTTATTTTTCCTCCGCGTTTGATGGCAACTTTTTATTTGGTGTGAACCCAGGACCCATCTCTGAACCCAGGATTTGGTGCCGCCACACTGCAAGCGCGACGGCCTGTTCTTTTCCCCCCGAAAACTACACCCGTAAAAGAGCCTTTCTTGAAAAGAATATAACCTGTACCAAGCTAAAATTTACTTGCATTCACGTATAATTAATTTCACGTATTGCAAGTCAATTACTTGTTTTGCTGTTGGCTCAAGAAGCTGCTTTTTATGGTGCGGGTCCTCAGTCAGCTGCCCCGAAAGTCCACAGGGATCCTGACCCACTCCGTTTGCGGTAGGCCTGGGCGATTAATCGAATAATCGAAAATAATCGCGATTATTTTGTTAATCGTCCGATTATTTCAAACCCCCGATTAGTGGTTCGGTAATCGAAGGATTGACCGATTATTTAACGATGATCGATTATCGATTAATCGTCTCATCATCGGATATTCTATCCATCAATCCATCAAATCCATCAAATTCTGAGCGGAAAAGTCTTGAAAAGTTTTCAGTTAAGGCACGAAAAAGCTGTCTCAGACACTCGAGGTTGCGCCAATGGTTTTCCTATCCTCTTATTACATGCTATTTTCACAATAGTATGAGTATTAACCTTTGTTTGTCAATTTCCAA